AGGAGAAAGTGCTTGTATGAATATGTGAATGGGGCATGTTATATAAAGCGCTTTGAGTGCTCTTGGAGAGTAGAAAAGCACTATATAACAATCAGACCATTTACCATTTATCATCTGAGTCTATGATGTTGACATCAGTGAAGAGATATCCATCTATCCATCCATCCATCTACAAATCATTTTTAGCCATCATACTGAAACCAGGGAGATGACACTGGGGTTTCAACCACATTAACTGGGGTGAAGTACAGGATATATCCAGAGAATCCAGAGTACTTTTTTACAATCAATCCCAGCAACTGGCATTGTGGTTTTAGTCAGTTAATCCTGAGCAGTCCATGTCTTTTTGAATGTTACTGTACTGCATGCATGCATCACTCTTTTCTGCAGGCTGTAGATTCATATACATGTTTGCTTGTGGCTTGTATCAGGATTCTTCTTTTCGGTCAGAAACCTTAGGCAGGGAAATACAAGAGAAAACAGGTCTAAATAGTCAGATGCCAGTCAGCCTAAACGAAGGGTTTTGAAGTGTAAGATTTAGCATTGTGTCATAATGAGGAAAATTGCAGTCTGTGTAAGTTTCAGACCACTACAAATCCTAGTGCAAAAACCATCTTTTTATTTCTACTCAAAAATCACTTTTATGTGATTAAAAATTTAAGAGTGTTTAGTATTTTCTGTGATTTAGAGATATTTGTAAATGATCACGGTAACCATAGCCCTTTTTTGGGTGCTCATGTCATTGCCCACATGAGCACCCAAGTTTCTCAATAAGATATAAGAGTCCCCAGGTGGAGCAACCTCAAGCAGCCCACTCAGGGACTCCAAGACAGCCGGGTACTCTGAACTGTCATTCGGCACATAGATACAGACAACTGTCAGGACCCGTTTCTTGCACCAAAAGCACAGGACCTGTTCCTCTCTCCCATTGGGAAAAACTCCAACGCACAGACAGCAAGATACCCACCCCGGCCACTGTGCTTTGGCCTTTTCTCCATCACACTGTTTCAAGGTATGGAGTGAAATCACAACATTACATGCAATCCTGGCCTCCCTTATGAGAAACTGCACAAACTGGCTAAGCTTGGAAATCTGCCAGTCTTCTCTTCTATCATCGAGACCTTTCTGTTCCACCTTGAAGTCAGCCCATCATGAAGCTTAGAGAGGATTTTTTGATTCTCATTATAGTCATTAAGAACCTGTAGACCCTTAATCTGGCTTTCAGCAGCTTCACAGCTACGCTGGAAGTCTACAAACACTTAAGTTCTAAACTGTCCTTGGAGCCAATTCTAGGCCATGCACTAAGTTTATCTCTAAAGGCTTTGACAATAAGAAAAGAGTTTTCAAATCTCTCATCTAAAACTTCCCATGGTGCTTTATAAGCAGCCTCAGTGCCTAACAGGAAATAGTTTTCAACAGCCTTCTTAGCTGGTCCACTAACGTACTTGCACAAATAGTAGATTTTCTCAGAGCCTGGTGTCTTTTTTTTCTTTTGATCAAAGTTTGAAAGGCAGCTTTCCAGTTCTTATACTTTGGTGGGTCACCACTGAATGTTGTTGGCTTTGGCATAGGAAGATGACTAGCACTAATAGAATCTGCTATGGCAAGTGCTGCAATGCTACCGTCATGCTGTGGCTGTATAATAGCTTGTTGTGGTGAACATCTGTCACATATGTAACTCTGGTGAGTTACATATGTGACTTGTGTGATGAGTTGAGTCTCCTTCCTTTTCCCTTTCAGATTTTCATGCAAGTAGTAACTGCTTAATTTCTTCTCCTGAATCTTCATCTTGCTCTTGCTTTTACACTTGCATGGATGCCTTAGCAGCCTTAACTGTTTGAGTGCTTCCAATCACTCCAGTTCCTTGCACTTCTCTTCCAAAACCTTTCGCCTGGCAGCATTTTCAACCTCAAGTTTTGCTTGCAACTGTGCTTCTTCTTCCTCCATCCTTAAACATCATCTACAGGCCTCAGCTGTTTATTCTGCAATCTGTCTTTTATTTTCAGCTTCCAGCTGCAGAAGCTCTGCTTGCTGACACTGTTGTTCATGTATGATTTTCAATGTTGCTTGAGCTGCAGCGATTTTAGCAGCAGTTTCTTGTCCGCTCACAGATGATGCGCTGGAGGACTTAGAGGTGACTCTTGATGACCTCCGAATTTTCCTTTCCGTGCAGTCCATCCTTTCCAAAATGTTATTCTGACTTATGAAGCGGTGTTTCATCATTAGGTGTCCTGCAGCTGATTGATGGCATGTCACAAACCCGGTTTCCATCTTCACAGTGTCAATTTCACAGTTTCTGAAGAACAAAATGATCTACTATCTGAAACTATATTCACACCACACATAAGGTGTGTGGTTTTATACACATAAATTTACATTTCTGAGAAAAAGTGGTTCTGGGATAGAAACAAATCACACCACACATATTTCTTGTAGAGCTGATTGTTTATTTTTTTCTTGAAATCTTATTTAATTGAATTATTTTCCATTATTTGGTGTAATGAAGTTGTTTATCCAACCAATGTAAGAGCAGACCTTCAGAGAAACAGCTGATCTGCTACAGACACATTTCCCACTTCCAACATGAACACCATAAATCGTGTTGTTGAATAACACTCCACCACCAGAATCACCCTGAGAAAGGAAATATAATCCATAGGTTTATTTTAAAACATCGGATAATGGAGAGTAAATGTTAGCAGCATGGCAGCTCACCGGACATGTGTCCACTCCAGCTTCTTCATAACACATCGTCTTTCCATTTGGCCATAATACTGGTAAATCACATGGAGTGAGATTAAGCTCACAGTTAACAACATGCATCTTTGCACACTGGAGATGAGGCGGTTCATCAGGGACTAAAAAAAAAGAGGAAAAGAACAAAAGCTACTCAGTGTTTCATGCAATGAAATCAGATCAGAAACACGCTTTCACTCATTTCTGGAACAAAATGTGTGAAGCTGAGCAGCATTTAAAAAGGAGGGAAACTGAGAGTATATCCACCATAAAATCAAATAAATACTGCATGTCATCACAGTTGTAAAATTAAAACAGGCTCACAAGCCAAAATCAAATTCTAATGTAAGCTAGAAAAATGAAAAAATAAAATAAAATAAAATAGGTCTTACGTGCGATGTTCTGTAGATTTACTAGATAACCACCAAGGCCTGCAATTTTAATTTCATTTCCTCTACAAATTAAAGAATAATAATTAATTAGTCCATCCATGTGTTGTGAGTATTTCCAGTTCACTATGACTAAAGCTAAATTAACTTTGAGGATTCAAAAATTAAACATTAAATTTCTGATTATTCTCTGAATTTTATGCCACTCTCATATTTTATTGTCCTTTACTCTGGGTCATGAATGCATCTCCTAAAGTAAAGAGTCTTATTCTCATTCTAAAGCATACTTGCAGATTTGCTTTAAGCATGTAAGAAAATCTAAATAACTCAGGTTACAACGACAGTTTAAAAAGAAAACCTATCATGCTTGTGTTGGAACTCACATGTTCGGAGTAATGGAACAATCAGGTAACTGAACAAGGTCAGTCCTGATCGATGCCGGTGAGATTCTCAGTAGCATGATGTCATGTTTTCCTCTTAGGTCCTCAAAGATTTGGTGATCCCTAATTGTAACCATACTTCCTGGACCTGGATGAATTCCTACATATGCAGACATAGTCCTAAACAATGGAAATGGTTATAACAAAGTCTTTATTATGAAAATAAAGAACAAATATCAGTAATGATTTTTGCCTCTGGCCTTTTTGATTCTGTCTAATCTTAAGTTTTAAGTGAAATTCTCATTTTCTCACCATCCAGATTGATCTTTCCAACAGTGAGCTGCAGTTAGAACCCACTCTCTGTGGATCAGAGAGCCTCCACATCGAGCCACAGCTTTTCCTTTGGTTGCAGTTATTTTCACATGGTACAGATGCTTGGTGTTTTCACAGTCATAACCGTTGAAGATTCTTTTGTGTAAATCCAGGACTGCGCTCTCTGTGACACCTGAAATAAGCCCAGTAATTTACTTACAAATAGTTGGTTCACTGTCTGAACAACATATTCTTTCTCAGCCAGTTGTTAGGCTAAAAAGATTTATCATAAATAAGTGATGAAATTCAAACATATTGTATGAGCGAGTGTTCCTGGGAAATTCTGACAAATATACAAAACTGATATCAAAGGAGAAACAAAGAATTAGAAGGACATACATGATATTAACACAAAACAAGCAAAACAAGCCTTTATTAACATAGATGTGTCATAACCTAAGGAACAGTTCAAACAGACAAAGTTCAAACAAGCACAGGAAGTGAGTGCAGTAGTTCACTTACCAACCCACAGGAGGAGAAGGAGGAACTTCAGATGAGCCATTGCTGTCATTCAGCTTGTGTGAATGCTGTGCTGGGACCTTTTTAAGCCTGTTCTCACTGTGTTAGTGATGGATCCACCAATCAAAGAGCCCAATGTTATCAACAAAACCCCATTGGTTCGTTGGGACAGTTTTCATGCAAATGTTGAACATCTCTTCATCTTAACAAAAAAGTGTCCTCATTATTTGTAGTCTTTGTCATCCATATACTCCAGGAAATGATACTGCATTTGTTAAAATAAGTTGTTTTTTAACAGAATAATTTCAAAGTTGAAGTTAATTTATACACACACAACTTTTTAGGGTGTGTGTATATCTTTTTCTAAGAGTAGCATAAAGGAAAAACTATAAAACATCTGTTCTTCAATTAGCAAGATATTGACTGACTTCATTTAACAATGTATTTATTTTCTTTTTTGTTTGTATTTTGTATTGCACTTTCCTGTATTTTAATAAGTGATACTGCTGAACAACTACGTCTGGCTCACTGAGCACAAAACTCGGGGCCTTAGAATTTCCTGTTCAGTTCGATACTTGCTTATGAGAAGCAACATTTTCAAGAAGCAACACATATCAGTTGTGGTAAAAGCCTTAAAACCTTTCTCTGTGCCTCTTTCAGTGGTCAGCTACTACTTTCTGAGTTTTTGTTGGTATTTCTTATTCTTTCAGCGCAGGTTAGTCATTCATGTTCGCATGGATAAACAATAATACTCCATCCATCCATCCATTCGCTTCCGCTTATCCTTTTCAGGGTCGCGGGGGG